AAAAAAGGTAGTCCTGAAAACATTAATTAGTAATGTTAGTCTTTCTTATACCTCTACCTGTTTGTATGAATAATACAGAGAGATTGCCATGTAGTTGAAAGAAATAATAGCAATCCTGTGGATACTTTGCCCAGGTTTGCCCAGTGGCAACATTATTCAAAATTGTAGTGTACTATAGCAACCAGGACGTCAACATTGAGAAAATTCACCGATCTAATTGTGATTTCCCTGGTTTCTCTTGCAATTGTGTGTGTGTGTGTTTGTGTGTGTGTGTGTGTGTGTGTGTGTGTGTGTAGGTAGGTAGGTTCATGTATCCACTACAGCAGTCAGGCTACTTAGAACCATTTTAACTACACAAGGGTCACTAGTATTTACCTTTTATAACTACCTGCATTTTTCCTCCTCCTCCCCGCAACCTCCTCCAGCCCCTAACACTTGGCAACCACTAATATGTCCTCTGTTTTTAAAATTTTTCATTTCAAAAAGTGCCTTATAAGTGCAGTCCTATAATATGTGATCTTTTGGGCTAGACTTTTTTGATTTATAAATCTCTGGAAAGCCATCCAAGTTGCTGAGTATAAAAAATTCCTTATTGTTAGGGAAGACTCCAAGGTATAAATGTTTGCTTAACCATTCACCCTTTCAAGTACAGTTTTTAGCTGTTAACACGTGCCATAAACATTATGTATGTTTTAAGTGGGCATATGTGTTTATGCTGAGTTGTATGGTAATTGCTTTTTTATATTTAGAAGGAACTGTCAAACTCTAGTTTTCTGATTATACTATTTTCAATCCTACCATAAATATGAGTGATCCAGTTTCTCCACATCTTCGTCAACATTTGGTATTTCAGTATTTTTTAATGTTAGCCATTCTGATAGGTGCTTACTGGTACCTGACTGGTTTTAATTGGCATTTCCCTGATGCCCAATAATGTTGACCATCTTTTCATGTTTATTTGCTGTTAGTATATCCTCTTTGTGAAATGTCACTTCATTTTTTTTTTTTCTGGCCTATTTTCTAATGGGACTGTTTGGTTGTTTCTTTTAACTCATGAATTTTATCATCCTTCTTCCTCCTTTTATTTCATGTTATTTTAGTTAATATTTTTTAGTATGTGCCATGTATCAGGCATTTGAAATAGAAAAATAAAAGACAAAGACTTTCCATGAAAGAATTGACAGTTTTGAGGAGGAGATAAATAGTCAGAATTCAATGTAGGAGAGGCACTTACCTCCCACCAAGAGACTCAGTGAAGGCTTGCTTCTTGGAGGAGGCACCATCTCATCAGATTCGGAGGCACCAGTATAGTTGTTATACTTTATATGCATTAGATTGCCTTTCCATTTAGGGCACTACTTTCTTACACTAGTGGGAAATATATAGTATATCTTAAAAAGCATCTTTTAAAGTAATTCATTATATGAATTTATCATTAATTCATAGTTATCAAGCACTAAACATAAGATATAATCCTGGAGAGCCTCCCCTGGTGACACAGGCATTTGAGCACAGTGCTGTGAAGCTTTCCGCAGCCTTTGCAGTGCTGGTTCGATCCCAGCCGGGCGACGAGGGTCCCACATGGCGCTGCAGACCTCTCCTGCTGTGCCCGCTGCTCCCCTCAGCAGTGTATTTCAGTCAGTCTGCTTGTTCTGTTCCCCGCTCTGTCTCTGGTGAATCCTCTCACTGTCCCACACATCTGGCCTGTACCCTGGTTCTTGTATAAATAAATAAATAAATAAATAAATCTTTTTAAAAAAAGATACAATCCTGGATTCCTGAGGATTCTAAGACAGAGAAGGCAGCATCCCTACTTCCAAAGATGCATGATCTAATGGGGACTAGAAACCTATAACCAGCACATTGTTGATGATTACAGGAACACAAATTTAGTAACAAAGAAGAGTGAAAAGTTACTCCTCACTAGGAAGTTTGGGAAGGTTTCTTAGAAGAAGTGGGGAGGGATTTGAGCTGGGCTTTGGAAAAGGAGTACAATTTCAACAGATGTATGTGAAAGGGAACAAATTTGTTATGTGCTCATAGATCTCTGATTTTCATAGACTTCCAGCTCTCTGTCTTGCTCTTATTGAGGAAAGTTCCTAGACCTGGTGACAGAATCCATGTTTTGCCAATGACTCCAGTTGAAGAGTTTGCTAGAGGAAGTCTTGTCTCTTTTTAGAATGAGATCCACAATCCAATTATAGGAAGTTCTTTGTCTTACAGATAGATGGACTGAGCAACCTAGAGAAGATCAAATTCAGCCCAAACTTATACTCCTTTTGGCCATACCAGTGACTGTATTTTTTCTAGAAGTTCCCAGGCCACGCCAGGGAGGTGGTGTGAGTTTCCTGCTATGGCTCTGCTAAAAATAAAAACTGATTGGTGAAAATAAAATGTGAGGTAAACAGGGCGCACTTCTTTGTTTTAAAGCGTTACTGTTTATCTCATAAGCAGTTGTTAAGAATTTTTAAGTAATATATTTTTTACAAAGACTCTGAGATAAATCATTTTACTAATTAAATAGCTTACAAAGAACATTCAAGAAAAGACAAACTGGTTTAAAAACTTCTGTTTACCAGAGACAAGAATAGATAAGTTTAGAAAATATTAGTGAGAGGGGGAAAGAGTATGCTTTCTTCTATTAATCAGAGAAAAAGAAAGGCAATTACAAACCGTAGGATTAAAAAAAATACATAAAATAGTCATTGCCCAAATATGAACCAAAATAAAATACAGCATAATTTTGGGAAATTTGTGGGCTAAGGGGATTTTTCATTTGCCACAATTCTCCATGACACAGAAGTCAAAATATTGTATCTCTCGAGGAAAGTTGTAAACCATGGCAATGAATGATATTTCCATGACCAAAATATTATAAATGTTGGCTGGCTTTTCAGCTCTTAGTATTCATTTACAGGTGAAATAGGGGAGAAGTTTGCAGAATGAGAATGGAAATGTAATCTCAGCAAGGTATGAGCAAAGTGGAAAGAAGTTGAAAGTTGGAAATGGGGAGGGCAGTGAGACAAAAGGTGGGAGTGCCATGTGTCCTGTACAGTAAGACATCCAAATGCTGTACAAAGCTGTTGAAGGAGTAAGCTGAGGCATATTAAGTTGTAAATTTAAGTTATTATTAAGTTATAAATTTGAGTAACTAATAGGAAAATAAAGAGAGTAATACAGCTACTGAAGGGGTTTAGAACACGCCACTCCAAAACATGCCACTTTGGCACAATAATTATTCTGAGCTGGAAGCCATTGAGAAACAAGAAATTCAGGAAGGGCTTTCTGCCTTCTCTCTTTCTACCTACAAGCAGGTCATAAAATTTCCCACAAGGGGCCTCCCCAGTGGCGCAGCGGTTGAGCACTGGGCTGCGAAGCTGCCTGAAGCCTCTGCAGCTCCAGTTCGATCCCCAGCTGCAGGCAAGGGTCCCACATGTTACGCAGACCTTTCCTGCCGCGCCTGCTGCTTCCCTCAGCAGTGTACTTCGTCAGTCTGTCTGTTCTGTTCCCCGCTCTGGCTCTGGTGAATTCTCTCACCCTCCCGTGCTTCTGAGTGTACCCAGTGCTTGTATAAATAAATAAATAAATCTTTTAAAAAAAAATCCCACAAGAATGGTGCTTTCCCCATACCAGGAAGAGAAGAGCATTCTTAACACCAGAGACAGTTCAATGCAGAAGTGAACCTGCATTCAATGCAGAAATAAACCTACTAAAATAACTCTTCTTATTTCCCTCCATGTATTTCCTAGTCACTTTCCCACAATTTACTGTCCCTAGTTCAAGCCCCCTTGTCTTGTCACATCCCCATAATTTATCATTCTTTGTGTAGAAATGTATATGACTTTGGGGACCTAACAGCTTCTCTGGGTCTTCATTTTCCTTTTGAAGACTCCCATGAACATATTTTATGTTGATGTACATTTTATATGTTTAATATGTAAAAACATTAAATATAATATGTATGCTTTTCTCTTGTTAATCTGCTTTGTATCAGTTTGTTCTTTTTTTAAATTTATATATATAATTTTTTCTCTCAGGTGTAGTCCCCATAGAATGTCAGTTTATTCTTAGAGCAGCTACAAAATCTAAGATGGAGAAAGTTCCCTCCTTCCCCATTACCAAGAACTGGAAGAACTGGGGAGGGCATGGGAAACAGTACAAATTAGATCACATTTTTTTCAGGAAGTGCATTTATAGATAGCATCTGAAGAGAATGATATGAGTTACAAAGGTCGTCACTAGAACCAAAGATAGCATTTAAGTGGTAACCTCTAGAAGTGGTACTAGAAGTTATATCACATAAGTGATTGCTTTAATAAAAAGAAATGTGGTAAAAAGATATTAACCAATAACAAATTTTTTTCAAAAGAGCAAGATGCAATAATATCTCAATGACTTCTTGTTAGTTTTTGAAATTTTAGGTGAAGGAACACTTCAGTGATGGGGAAATATTAAGTATAATTGCAGGTATTTCATTATCTAAAATCTAAAATGTAGCCCATAAGCATTTTAACTTTTCCTGAATTTGCCCTTATTCAGGAAAAATAACTAGTGCAACTCTGGCATAATATTTGAATGCCATTTTTGTTAAGAGAGATCTGAGAAGTTTTTGAGATGAGATGAAAGAATTGCTGTGAGACACTTCTCAAAGGTATAAAATCCCTGGAGTAATTCAATTTTTAGCTTTATAAATATAACGTAAGTTCTTTCCTTGTGCAAACTCTTCAACTTATTTTTCTCCTTAAGGATACACTCCTGGTTTAATAATGCCCGTCACGGAAAAATAGCATTTATTTTGTAAGCATTGACTTTAGACATAACCATTTCCAGGGTTGGAGAACGTGGCTCCAGATACGCACCCTGAGGTCTATGCAGGTGTGTGCCAGGATGTGGTCTGGCTGGTGGGGATGCCGGGTCTGTCTCGCTGTAGTGTGTTTCTGCGGCGCCATCCTGTGGTTGTGATGCTAAATTAGAGCATGTTTCCATTTTCTTTTTTCTAGGAAGGGCCTTTTGTCTACTTGTCTTTCACAGGAAATATTACAGATTCCCACGGCTTTATTGCTTCATTATGTGAGTAATTTAAAATGTTTGCATTTGAAATGTTTGAGGAGATTAATTGCAAATATTACTGTCAATTAAACGAGGGCCAGTATTGTATGATTTCCATTTATATGCAATATCCAGAATGGGCAAATCAATCTGTAGAGGCAAATTGTAGATTAGTGGTGGCCTAGGGCTGGGGTGGGGGTGGAGGGAAGGGAGGAGTGGAGGGAGAAATGGGGACTGACTGATAATGAAATGTCTTGAATAAGATTGCGGTGATTCAAATTTACGAGTATACTAAAATCCATTGAACGGTACACTTTAATCAGGTGAATTGTATGGTATGTGACTTATATCTCAATAAAGCTATGTATTTTAAAATATAGTGAGTACAGATTGATGAGCTTGAGATATTTAAACTGTTTTTTTTTAATTTTATTTATTTATGCATAGCGTGATACCTCTGAGACTTAACCCCTATACTGCCAGGAGGGCCCTAAACTGAGTGTTTTTCAATCTTATAATATCAACTTTATTTTTATGGTGCATATGTATCTTTAATTTCTTTTTTTTTTTTTTAAAGATTTATTTATTTATTTATTTATTTATTTATTTATTTATTTATTTATACAAGCTCTGGGTACAGTCAGAAGCCTAGGAGGGTGAGAGAATTCACCAGAGCCAGAGCGGGGAGCAGAGCAGGCAGAAGGACTGAAGTACACTGCTGAGGGGAGCAGCGGGCGGCAGGAGAGGTCTGCGCGCCATGTGGGACCCTCCTCAGGTGGCCGGGGAGCAGCCGGGGATCGAACCGGCACAGTAGAGGCTGTGGGCAGCTTCGCAACCCAGCGCTCAACCGCTGCGCCACGGGGGAGGCCCTGTATCTTTAATTTCATAGACAATTTCCAAAAATCTCCTTGCTCTGTAGAGATGTTAACTGGTTTTCCCTATCTTTTTCATGCTTAGTATAAGTCAGAAAGCATTCAATTGGAATTGACCACCACCATGTATTATGTCACTACTGCCAAATGAATCAGCCATGCAACACCAGGTGCTTTGCTGCTATTGCAGAACTTCCTTGCACAGGATGAATTTTCCCAGATTTTGCCTCTGAAATTCTGCATTGTTTATATTGTTTGTTCCATTGTTTTGAAATTATATCTTCCGGCCAGAATCTATAAGGGTGTCCCAGCAATTTCCCAGAGAAATCAGGTGGCGCTGAGAGAGGTAGGGAGAGAGATTTATTTGTCACACTGGAGGGCTCAGTGAGATAGCTCCCATAAGTCTGACCCCAAAAATCAGAAATGGTAGGGTTTTATACAGTTTATATGTGAAAGCCTGTCACCCTATCCATAATGATTTTTCTTATTGTTTGGGAAGGAGGTCAAGGTAGCTGTGGCTGCTGCTGTGGGCAAGCCTCAGACTGCAGCAGCTTTCTGCTTCAACAAGCAGCGGACTCTAAGCAGGAGACTTAGCAATGGGACTTCAATTCAAACTAATGTTAGGAAACTCTTTTAGAGAGTTGAGTCAGCTCTAGTTAGGGCTTCTCAAAGCAAGCATGCATCATCTTTGACCATCATAGGTCCAGCAGAGGGAGCTCAGGAACCTGAACCCTCCACACTGGGATTCAGCAATTTCAGTCTCAGGGGCTGAGTGAAATGCAGCTGTGCACCTTTTTGGTGAGTAGTCTGGATTAAACTTTCCTCGAGAATTTCTAGGGGAGCCCAAACGCTGAAGGGCCCCGGCCTAAGTCATTGTCCTGTCTGATATCTGAGAAAATAAGCATATTTGGCTCAATCCCATGAACTGCATATGTCTAATATGGTCTCTCTATCAACCATCTTCATATTTGTATTTTGCACCTTTAAAAAGTGAGAGTTCATTTAATGGAGTTGCTCTCTATTTTCACAAAAGTTAAAATATAAACAGTAATATATAGTAGTGTTTTTTATTTTTTTTTTGGTGTTCCCTTTTTTTTTTATTTTAATTTTATTTTTATATTCCCCATACAATTGCAACCACCTTATTTTGATCCCAATCCCTTCTTTCCCTGCCCCCCACCCCCTATAGTAGTGTTTTTTAAAGTTAAAAATGCACAAAATTGCCAGAGCAACTTGGTTAAAATACAAATTCTGACTTAGACTGTCTGGGATGAAGCCTCCCAGATGTTGATCAGTGGACTGTCCTTTGATTCACCAAGTTGTACAGCTGAGGTGTAAACATTATGTAGAACACATTAAAGAAAAAAGTTATTCATGGTTTTCAGTGATTATTTTTGATAAATGGTCTATACCTTCCTCTTTTTCTCCTCCTTCTGAAAATCCTCGTGATGTGGGTGTTATTTCTCTGTATATTGGCTCAGAGGACTCGAACACAGGAGAACAGCACATATGAAAAAGATCCCCAACAACAAGTGTTGGAGAGGATGCAGAGAAAGAGGAATTCATTGCACTGTTACTGGGAATGTGAACTGGTGCAACCATTGTGGAAAGCTACCTGGATTTACCTTAAAAAGTTAAAAATGGGGCCTCCCCGGTGGCCCAGTGGTTGAGCGCTGGTTGCGAAGCTGCCTGCAGACTCTGCAGCACCGGTTCGATCCCCGGCTGCTCCCCGGCCACCGGAGGAGGGTCCCACATGGTGTGCAGACCTCTCTTGCCTCCCGCTGCTCCCCTCAGCAGTGTACTTCGGTCCTTCTGCCTGCTCTGCTCCCCGCTCTGGTGAATTCTTTCACCCTCCCGCACTTCTGACTGTACCCAGTGCATGTATAAACAAACAAACAAACAAACAAATAAAACATGCCTCTATAAAAAAAAATTTTTTTAAAAAAGTTAAAAATGGAAATACCATGTGACCCAGCAATCCCACGCTTGGGCATCTATCCACAGAATATGAAACCACCAACATACAGACCCATATGTCCCACAGGGTTCATAGCAGCATTATTTACAATAGCTGGGACTTGGAAGCAGCCTAAATATCCACTGATGGATGAATGGGTGAAGAAAACATGGCATATGTACACTGATGCTTCATTAGGGACGCATCTTAATTGTGAGAAATGCATCATTAGGCAATTTCATCCCGTGTCAGTGTCAGAGTGTAGTCACACCCAGGCTCTATGGGATAGCCTGTTGGGACCGCTGTCATAGACACTGTCCATCAACACATTAAGTGTCATGAATATATATATGTGGTAGAATATTGTTCAGTCATAGAAAGGAAAGAAATCCTTCCATTTATGACAATATAGATGAACCCTGAGGGCGTCATGCAAAGTGAAATAAGTCAGACAGGGCAAGACAAATACCATAAAATTGTATATGTGGAATCTAAAAATATAATCAACCTAAACTCTTAGAAAAAAGGTGAGATTTATGGTTACTGGAAGTGGGAGTGGGAGAATTAGATAAAAGAAGGGGGAAAGTACTAACTTAAGATAAATTAAGTATTAAGATAAATAAGTACTGGGGATGTGATACACAACATCATGACTGTAGTTAACATTGCTACATGGAGATTTTGAAAATTGTCAAGAGAGTGAATCCTAAAAATTCTCATCCCAATGAGAAGACATTTTTTATCTATATGAGATGATGAATCTTAACTAAACTTACTAGGGTACTCAGCACACAATATATATCCATCAAGTCATTATGCTGTTACACTGTTATACCTTCAGTGTTATACTGCTATATGTCAGTTACATCTCAATAAAACTGGGAGTGCTGAAAAGAGTGATCAGATACCAAGAATGAGGGATTTTTACTAAAGTGACTTGGTAGGATTCTTGCTAAAACTGGACTAATTGGACTGAGGACAGAGTCCAAGTTTCATTTTCGTTGAGAAGAGAGCCCAGAGGAGCCTGATTTGAGCTTGATGAAGAAGATTCTTTGTGGCCCCTTGTCATGTCCTTGTCTCTGCTCTGTGGTAGAGAGCACAGCCGTGGTGCTGGTCATAGAAACCTCCAGTCCTTAGTGTACATCTGTCCTTCTAAACTTCTGCCTACGTCTGCCTATGAAATAAATGATCATGACCACAGCATCAGGCTATCCAGGCTGTTTGCCCATTTGCCCTTTTGCTCTTTAGGGGTGTGACCAGTAAAAGGATGGTCAGAATGAAGCAGTAGAGGCGGAGAGGCCTGAAGCTTGCTGTGCTGGGACTGGCCAACAGCAGGGTCTGCTTTGAAATGTTGCCTCCCCCTCCTTCCTCTCCAGTGCTAACCTGAAATTAAGATCCAGTGTTATGTGTGCCTTGATAGCTGGTAGAATCTGGGGGCCTCAAATGGCCAAATGCAAGTCCCCTCACCATTCTACTGCCAAGTATAAAGCCCCTAGCAAACCACTCTCCTCGTCTCAGGGTCCAGGTACAGAACCTGCATATCCCTGGGCACCTGCCAGTCCTCAGAATTATTCAGGAAGCCCATCACATCCTCCCAGGAGCCAAGGGTTACTCCAGCCTCTTGCTACTACAAAACTTGCCCCTCACAGACCTGTCTGGTTCACACTATTTACAAGTGCAGTCCCCACGTGGCCCTTCGTGGCTCAGTGTTCTTCTCCCCCAGGCTGTGAATGAATGTGTGTGTGACTAACAAACTGCCATCCATACCTCATGTTCAATGTCGAATATTGTGAGTCCAGCCATCCCCAGAATCCTAGGATGGAATCCCTCCCTTACCCACAGGTGAAAGGAAGTAGCAGCCACCTCAGCTCCCTATTCTGACTTAAATGCGACTTCCTCCATGACCCACACTCTCCCACATCACTGATGCAAGATTGGAACCCACTAGAAAAAAAAGTGAGCCTTCAGCAGGCCCACTTTATGTCCTAGTCACTGCTGCATTCTCTGCATTCACGGAGTCCTCCCTCTGCGCCAGAAGATTAGTTGAATTCAAGAGTGAATAAATTGGGCCTCGCCGGTGGTGCAGCAGGTTGAGCGCTGGGCTACGAGGCTGCCCGCAGCCTCTGCGGCGCCGGCTTGATCCCCGGCTGCTCCCCGGCCACCGGAGGAGGGTCCCACATGGCGCGCAGACCTCTCCTGCCGCCCGCTGCTCCCCTCAGCAGTGTACTTCGGTCCTTCTGCCTGCTCTGCTCCCCGCTCTGGCTCTGGTGGATTCTCTCACCCTCCCTCGCTTCTGACTGTACCCAGTGCATGTATAAACAAACAAACAAACAAATAAATAAATAAATAAATAAATAAAACATGCCTCTATTAAAAAAAAAAGTGAATAAATGGTGTTACTTTTGTGAGTGCCCAATTACCCACCTAACTCTTAGTTCTTAAAGCATTGATGTTTTACTTGTTATAGTTCCTTAGATTTCAGGTGCACTACGTGTGTGTTTAAATTTAAAGGAAAAGAAGCTGTCTGCAGCCTCTGCAGCGAGGGTTCGAATCCTGGCAGGCCAGGGAGATTTCCACATTGCATGCAGACCTCTCCTCTCTCACCCGCTGCTCCCCTCAGCAGTGTATTTTGGTCGTCTGCCTGTTCTGCTCCCTGCTCTGTCTCTGGCGAATCCTCTCACCCTCCTGTGCCTCTGGCCTACACCCCAGCTCTTGTAATAAATACATCAATAAGTAAATCAATAAGTAAATCTTTTTAAAAATTAAAAAAATAAATTTAGAGGAAAAACTTTTGCTTTCCTCATTATGTTGCTATCCAGTTCATGCCAGCCAGCAGGCTCATGCTAAGGACAGGCTGCACGTCCTGCCGGCCTGCATGTGTGTCTGGCCTTTCACGGCGCCTCCTCTCACCCTGTGTCTGTGTGTTATCTCATTAAATACCTAGTCCTTTTTGCTGGCCGGCTCTTCTTTCAGGCTAGTCTTTCATTAGCACCCTTTGTCCCTGGCCCAGAGGGACCCTAACACTGGCTACGATGAGATCAGAGCTTTGTGCTGCTCAGACTTATCAGATAGCACAGCCGATTGTTGACCATTCATGCATTTTCGAAATAGTGTGAGCTCCTATGACCAGCATGTATTACTTTAATAAATTAAAAAGAGAAGCACAGGGGGGCGAGGGAGGGAGGAGGACTAGCGAGAAGGGGGGAAGAGGTGGAGGGGAGAAGGAGAGAGAAGGGAAAAGGAAGAGGGAGAGGAAAGGCTTCACTTAGTACATGGATCTCAGCTCAGCTCTAAAAAGACCTTCTGGCCTCACGGCACTTTCTAGGAAAAAAAAATCCTGATAATAGGGTTTGGAAAGATTTCCCGCTCCCCAAGAGCACAGTTGAGGCCTTTATGGTGACTGTCGTTAGTCCCGTCCCTGTAGCAGACTGAAATGCCCCCTTTGTCCATTGTGGGTCTATCCAATAGTTCAGGCTCTATTTCCCCCCCTTCTTGCTGCCCCCTCAAGGCTCAGATTCTCTTCAACTATTAATAAATATGTGTTTTTTTTTAAAATAAAGTTCTTTAATAACAATTTTCCTAAATCTAAATTGTCCTTACAGGTTTTTTTTTTTAAAGATTTATTTATTTATGCATGCAAGAGCTGGGGTGCAGGCCAGAGGTGTGGGGGGTGAGAGGATTCACCAGAGACAGAGTGGGGAGCAGAACAGGCAGACTGACTGAAATACACTGCTGAGGGGAGCAGTGGGCAAGTCAGGAGAGGTCTGCTGTGTCATGTGGGTTGCTCCGCAGCCGGTGGGGATCAAATTCGTGCTGCAGAGGCTGCGGACAGCTGCACAGCACTGCACTCAACCGTCTGCGCCATCAGGGAGGCCCTGTCCTTACAGGTTTTATGTTGAAAATTTGAAGTAGGGAATTAAAATGCATTTGCTAAGATAATTATTAAAGACTATCTTTGCAAATTCTGAGTCTGTCAAACTAATTTGAAAATCTGTCATGTGTAATAAAAAGGGTGGGAGTAAAAAGAGCATATTTGTGAAAACATTTTGGAAACAATTATTTTACAAATTTTAACAATATTGTTTTTACTTCTACCAGGTGGCAAATGCATTTTTTCTCAGGGTTCTCTTACCTTCCGAGGCATTAAGAAGAATATGGAGAGAGTGACAGTGATTCTTTTCAGCTTCTCTTTAAGGGAAAAAAAAAAGGTCACTTCCATTAACATCCATAAAAAGTGATTGCCAGAGGCCTCCCCGGTGGCGGTGGCGCAGCGGGTTGAGCACCTGCTGTGAAGCTGCCCACAGCCTCTGCAGCATGGGTTCAATTCCCGGCCGGCCAGGGAGAAACCCACATGGTGTGGCAGACCTCTCCTGTCTCACCCACTGCTCTCCTCAGCAGTGTCTTCGGCCGCTCCCCTCAACAGTGTCTTCGGTCCATCTGCCTCTTCTGCTCTCCACTCTGTCTCTGGTGAATTCTGTCACCCTCCCTCGCCTCTGACCTGTACCCCAGTTCTTGTATAAATAAATTTTAAAAAAAGTGATTGCCAGATGAATAACAAAATGGGTTTTGTTTTTAGGGAAAGAATATGGCAAAGCTGATGCAAGATGGCTTTATTTTGATCCAGCCATTGTGTCTGTGGAAATTCTGACTGTTGTACTGGATGGGTCTCTGGCATTGTTCCTCGTTTATGCCATAGTCAAAGAGAAGTATTATCGGTAAGTGCCCCTTTCCTGTCTTGCTAAAAGAGCAGAACCATAGCTGTCCCAACGCCTAAGTGACATTGGGAGCTAATTATGAAAAGTACAGTAGAGACGAAAGTAGATTGATATTAGATAAGGATTATGATGCCATCAGAATAATTTCAGACAGTTTAAAATAAAAAATACTAGAAATATGATTACAGAACAACTTTGTCACTGAATAGGGAAGCACAATGTTAATAGCATTGGACAATTTGCCACCAGTATTTTAAAGAACAAAAGGATAAAGTTTCTATCCTCCCCACCCATCACTCGAGAATTCGTATTCACTTGATGTAAAATAAATTCGTATTCATTTGATGTAAAATAAATTACATGCAAGGTAAGTAGAAATCTATTCAGCTGCAGGTTGTGATGGACACGAGGAAGGCAGAGAGTCGGGGCAGATTAGCCAACCAGACTCTAAGACTTGGAACTCTTCTCAGACTCTAAGACTTGGAACTCTTCTCCTGACCTCACTTTTCTTGTCCTTCCTACAGACAAAGTGAACTGGGCAAATATATTGCTATGCTGGGGATGAGTCCCTAAAACAATGTCAGGTAGACACAATTGCATTCAGTTTTCCTCCATCCTGTATGGAAGAAGTCTTATTTAAAGCTTCAGAATGAAGTTTCATGATAACCTCAAAAATTGCTTGATCCACTTTCCCTACCCAATTTTACAAAGATTGTCGGCAGGAACAATTATATTTCTTTTTGGTGTTTTGACATATCTTTGATTCCATGATCTTGGTTGTAGCCTTACTATATTTCCCCATTTGTTTATTATTTCAAAAATTTATAATATCTACCATGTACCACCACTTTATCTATGTATTTTATTTAATCTCCACAACATTTGAGGAAGGGACTATTATAATCCCCCTTTACAGGGGGTGAAATTGTGACTTAACAACAAGATTCCTACCTAGGTCTCTCTTTGCTGGATCAGGTCTGACCTCACTAAATTTTTCTAAGAAGAGGAAAGGATACCCAAAAGAGTATATTTGACTCTGCAAGTGATCTGGAAAGGGCAATGTTGCGTCTCTAAAGAAAGCATAGGTCTTCATTAATTAGCTTGACTTGCCCCACAGAGAGCAGTACTTGAAGCCTGAGGTCCAGCTTCAGAAATCATGTTGATGCTGCCCAATAAAGAATAGCTGTCATGATTCAGGGTGCCAAAGTGTGCTGAGGTGGCAGTTCATCCCTTGTTTCTTTCTCTCTGGCAGGCATTTCTTACAGATTACCCTGTGCGTGTGTGAACTGTATGGCGGGTGGATGACCTTCTCACCAGAATGGCTTATGGGAAACCCCAACCTCAACACCAACAATTGGCTCTACTTATGGGTCTACCTGGTATTTTTCAATAGCGTGTGGGTTCTGATCCCAGGAATGTTACTGTGGCACTCATGGGTAGAACTGAAGAAAATGCAGCACAAAGTAACCAGTTCAGGGAAGAAGTTTCAGTGAGTTTTAAAAATCACAAACACTGTTTTAATGTATGAGCTAATCATTTATGTACAACGTTTTTTTTCGGACAAACTGCAATAGTCATGCATCGCTTGATGACATTTCAGTCTCAGCTGGTTCAATGGGTCCTACCATCCGGCCTGGGTGTGCAGGGTGCTGTGCTGTCTGGATGTGTGAAATTACACTCAGTGACCTTTGCACAACAGAGTCACAAATGATGTATTTCTCAGAACATGTCTCCATTGTACATTCCATTGTATACTTAACTTTTTTTATGTTAATTGTTCCTAAATCTATTTCAAATAGATTGTAAGGTGGCAGATTTCACTGTTTGTTTCTTTTTTGCAATTTAATTAAATGTCAACAGAGAATAAAATTTTAACTTGTCATTTTTACTGATTGCAGCAGTTCTATCCAAGTGGGGAACAGGTACTCCCATTAACTTGCCCAATACCTGCCATTCTTATTTATTTATTCATTTACACAAGAACCGGGGTATAGGCCAAATGCGCGGGAGGGTGAGAGGACTCACCAGAGAGAGAGTAGGGAACAGAACAGTCAGATGGGCGAAATACACTGCTGAGGGGAGCAGCAGGTATGACAGGAGAGGTCTGCCGTGCCATGTGGGACCCTCGCTGGCCAGCCGGGATCGAACTGGCACTGCAGAGGCTGCGGACAGCTTCACAGCGTGGCGCTCAACTGCCTGTGCCACCAGGGGAGGCCCCATTTTTACACTTTTATGGCTACCATTAATTATTCCCCATTAATAAAATCACTCATGGAATACTATAGATAGAGCATGTTATCAATATGTTAATTCATATTCCAAAGAACACATATCTCAATTTTTAATCTTCTGATTAGTCTTTTAGTGAGCAAAATGAAGTCAGAAGTGCAGTGAATGCTTCTATTTTACATTTATACTTTATGAAATTTGTGAAACCAACAAAAAAATGATAATAGCAGTTTCTTGTGAGTAAGCCAGCTCCTTACAGGTGAACACGGGGGGTCACACATATTGATTGATTTATATATGACCTTTTTCAAAGAGAAAGAGTTGAAGTTTTTATAGAACTGCATAGTACATTATGATAAGGAGTGAACCAGAAAATAGAAATATAGGGAAATATCTGACAGAGAAATAGTAAGATGCATGCCATAATATGTGTAGTTGATAGAAACAAAGCACAAATTTGGTACTTACCTTCAGCACCAAGAGGGAAATATGCCCACACTGTGATTCATAAAGCACTAGTTTTAGGAGATGATTGCAGCAGTTCTATCCAAGTGGGGAACAGGTACTCCCATTAACTTGCCCAATACCTGCCATTCTTATTAGACTCAGCTCACAGATGCTTTCTCTGTCTAGAAAAGTACCTGGCCCACCCACCAGGCGCTTGATAAATTGTGGTCAATTCTGTCACTCAGATAGCTCAGCTGCATTCCCTCCTCCTAGGTTTCCTTCTCACAGCAGAGGCTCTAGGCTATAGTCCTGGATGAAAAATTGGCTTCACCTTTCAGAGGCACTCGTAAGAGATCTGGTAAGTGGAAGCATGGAAACCATTTTCTACTATTTCTTTAAAAAAAAATGCTGCCTTTGTGGTGTATTGAGAGGCAGTTATGGTTGGAGCAGCAAGAATAAAGAATAAAGTGTGGTGCTGCCTTCCTGGGGAGGGACCATTCTGTGGTCATTGGTAATGACTCCTAAATTAGCCAGGCACATGCTCCTGCAGTCCCCAGTGATTTTTGTAAGCACTGAAATCTAACTGTTAAGTCCTGCTAGAGTGATTTCTGTTTTCTGTCCTGTGTCCTGAATGATACCTGACTATGATATTTATTGAATATTAAATAAATATAGTCAAATAAGTTTGAAAAAATTTATTAGCACATTAAAAGCTTTAGAAGTTCACAATAAACATGTTTAAATTGTTTAACCTGACCTTTTCCCAACATATTTATGAGACGACCACTTTAATAAGTGGGGTGATAGTCCATGAGATTAAAAACAAACTAGTTGCCAATAAATAATCAAAGTAAGAAATTTTAAATAACATTTACTATACTATCAAAACATTCTAATATTTAGGGAGAAAATAAAATATGTATAAAACCTATACAGAGAAGAAAACTATAAAATATTATTGAGAGAAGCTAAATAAGAGATATGACGTGTTTCATGGATTAGATGGCTTAATATTGTAGAGTCACTTCTCCCCAAATTGACCTATGGATTCAATGTAATATCAATAAAAATTCCACATTCAAAAAATTTATAACAAGTTGATTCTAAGAAATGTTATGGAAATGCAAAGAGCCAAAAAACTAAGACAACTTTATAAAAGCTTTTTCCACACATATCCAATCTCAGTCTAAAACTATAGTAATAAACATGATATATTATTTTTTTATTTAAATATTTTATTTTATATAATTCTTACATCTTTTTAAATCTTTGCACAATGTATGCTAACATGATATATTATTGGCACAGGAATAGTAAGAGACCAATGGAGCAGACTAGAGAGTCTAGAAACAGACGTCCTCATATGTGGGCACTGGATTTATGATAGAGAGGGCCTTCAGAGCAATGGGGCAAAAATGATCTTTTCAGTAAGTGGTATCAGGTCAGTTGCATGTCCATCTAAGAAAAAATGAATCTTGATTCTTACCTCACACCATACCTTATAGTCAGTTCCAGGGGAATTGTTGATCTTAATGCGAAAGGCAACAATAAGGCTTCAAGAAGAAAAAGAAGAATATATTCTTTAAAATATTTATAGGATTTTTTAAAATCCTATAAATGTGACTACATTAAAATTAAGTACTTCTTTTATCAAAGGCACCATTAAGAGAGTAAAAAAGGAAGCCACAATGTAGACTACTCCTGTTGATCAATTAGAAAAGGTAACACTCTAACAGCAAAATTGACAAATATGTGGAAAACTTCACAAAACATCAAAAAAATGGGAATTTGGGAAATGATAAGGCCACAATGAATTATTACTGCACCCTTATCAAAATGAATAAAAACAAAAGACTGACAATGACAAGTGTTGTTAAAATGTAGAGCCACTGAAACTTTTACTGTTCATGGGAATATAAAATGGGAAACTTTTTTTCTTTTTTTTTAAATTTTTAAAATTTTTATATTCCCCATACAATTGCACCCCCCTTATTTTAACCCCAACCCTCCTTTCCCCGCCACCCCCCATAGTGTGTCTCTGGTTTATAGTTGTTTGTCGATTTTGATTTTTTCTTTCTTATAGTTATTCTTTTTCCTGGTCCCTTATTTAGGTTTTCTAGATTTCTGCTATGAGTGAGACCATCCGGTATTTTTCTTTTTCTTTCTGGCTTATTTCACTGAGCATGATCCCTTCCAACACCATCCATGTTGCTGCAAATTGTATGAGTTTATCTTTTTTGATTGCTGAGTAATATTCCATTGTGTATATGTACCACATCTTGATCCAGTCATCTATTTTTGGGCATTTGGGCTGTTTCCATAGTTTAGCTATTGTAAATAGTGCTGCTATAAACATAGGGGGCAGGTGCCCTTTTGACTGAATGATTCTGTTACCTTTGGGTAAATACCTACGAATGGAATTGCTGGATCACATGGAAGCTCCATATTTAGCAGGTTGAGAAATCTCCAAACAGCTTTCCACAGTGATTGGACCAGTTTGCATTTCCACCAGCAGTGCAGGAGTATTCCTTTTTCTCCACATCCTCGCCAGCATTTGTTGTGGCTAGTTTTTTTAATATGTGCCATTCTCACTGGTGTAAGATGGTATCTCATGGTAGTTTTGATTTGCATTTCCCTGATGACAAGTGATGTTGAACATTTTTTCATATGCTTGTTGGCCATTTGCATTTCCTCTTTGGAGAAGTTTCTTTTTAGCGCTTCTGCCCATTTTTTGACTGGATTATTTTCTTTGTTTTTGTTGAGTCTCATCAGCTCTTTGGAGATTTTTGTGATCAGTCCTTTATCATTAGTGTTGTGTGCAAAAATGTTCTCCCAGTCGGTGGGGTTTCTCTTTGTTTTCGTTATTGTCTCTTGCTGTGCAGAAGCTCTTTAATTTGATGTAGTCCCAGCTGTTTATCTTTGCCTTCACTAGCACTGCTTTGGGTGATGTGTCTGTAAAGATGTCTTTGAGGTGCATGTCATGTAATGTTTTGCCTATATTTCCTTAAAATGGGAAACTTTTGAAGTAACTATTACAACTGAACATCATCAAGTTGACTCTTCAGTGCTGTGCGTGCCTCACAGATGTGCTTGCTGTGTGTACTAGAGTGGCAGTATTCTTCATTATAACCCCAAACTGGAAATGATCAAATTGGAGCATACACATTCCACAATGGAATAAACACACTATACAATGAAAGTGAACAGCCTACTGTTACTTCAACAACATACATGACTTTACAGACTGAATGGCAAGTGAAAGAAGCCAGACCAAAAAAAATGTGTATTGTATATTGTAGGATTCCATTTATGTAAGGTTCAAATGAAATAAAACTATGGTTTTATTAGAAATGGGATTAGAAATGGGTAGTAGAAATGGGATAGAAGTCGCCTTTGGGGAAGAGTGGGTAGGTTGATGGGGAGAAGTCGTGAGGGGTTTCAGAGGTTCTGGCAATGTCCTGTTTTTGTTCATTTGTGTGGTAGTTATAACTTTTGATAATTCATTTGGCTATATGCTTATGAATAGTGTGCTTTTCTGCATGTTATGCTTCAATTTTAAGTTGTTTTTTTTTTTTTAATTCCTGTATGAAGCCCTGAAAAATGTCACTAATGGCTCCTCTTGAAGAGGATGCTGTGTCCTCGGGCTGCTTCTGTGTCCCTGCTGTGGACTGAAGGCCGGATCAGAGGAAGGTCCTGAAAAAGCCTGTCGGTGAGGGTCGCCTAGTTGTTTCCAAAGGTTGCTCTGCTGATCTAACTCCATCCAAGGGTAGCAGGATAGAGAAACGGCTGGACTGTGTATATTGCAGGCCGTGCTGAAAGCATAGGAATTTTTGCTCA